AACGTTGTTTCAACGTCTAGACCGCTTCAACTTTTGCACATGGATCTTTTTGGTCCTTCTAGAACGAAAAGTTTTGGTGGCAATTACTTTGCGTTTGTGATTGTCGATGACTACTCTAGGTTTACATGGACCTTGTTTCTTACTCATAAAAGTGAAGCATTTCATGTTTTCAAAAATTTTCTAAAGAAAGTTCAAAATGAAAAAGAAACAACCATAGTAGCCATAAGAAGCGACCATGGGGGAGAGTTCGAACGAAATCTGTTTTCAGATTTGTGTGACGAACTTGGCATTGATCATAACTTCTCAGCCCCACGTACACCACAACAAAATGGAGTGGTGGAACGTAAAAATAGATGTCTCGAAGAGATGGCTAGAACTATGATCAATGAGGCAAAAATCCCTAAGTATTTTTGGGCGGATGCCGTGAGTACCGCGAGCTACGTGTTAAACCGAGCCGTCATTCGACCAATAGTCATGAAAACGCCCTATGAACTATACAAAGGGAGAAAGCCAAACCTTTCCCATCTTCGAGTCTTTGGTTGCAAATGTTTTATTCATAATAACGGCAAAGATAACTTGGAAAAATTTGATGCCAAATCGGACGAAGGGATTTTTCTTGGTTATTCTCTTTGCAGCAAGGCCTATAGAGTATTTAATAAACGTACTTTGACTATTGAGGAGTCCCCTCATATTGTATTTTCCGAAGATAATCCTCGCTTGGCGAGAAAGGCTATTTGTGATGATCTTGCAGATTGATTAGAGAGAGTACACATTGAAGACGATGAAGAAGACACGCCATTATACACTAACCTGCAACCAGAACCTGAGGAAACACCTCAAGTGATGGTCGAAAATGAGGACCAAGCGGACGAAGAAGAACAAGAGGAAGCCCAGGAACAAGAGGAAACCGAGCTTCCCATCGCTTGGAGAACGCACAGAAACCATCCACTTGATCAGGTAATCGGCAGCATCAACCGCGGGGTAAGTACTCGTAACTCTCTTAGGGACACCGTAGGACACATGGATTTTGTATCTCAAATTGAACCTACAACCATTTCCGAAGCAATAAACGATGAACATTAGACCTTGGCTATGCAAGAGGAGCTAAACCAATTCAAACGAAATGACGTTTGGGAATTGGTGCCAAGGCCTGATGATCGCACGATTATTGGTACGAAATGGGTGTTCCGTAACAAACTTGATGAAAATGGAATAATCACTATAAACAAAGCTAGGCTCGTAGCTAAAGGCTACAATCAAGAAGAAGGCATTGATTCTGAAGAAACGTATGCACCTGTAGCACGTTTAGAAGCTATTCGTTTACTTCTTGCTTTTGCTTCGTCTATGGATTTTAAACTTTATCAAATGGATGTTAAGAGTGCCTTCTTCAATGGTTTTAATCAAGAGGAAGTGTATGTTGACCAGCCCCCGGGGTTTGAGGACTTTGAGTTTCCCGATCACGTCTTCAAACTCAAGAAAGCGCTCTACGGTCTTAAACAAGCACCACGTGCTTGGTACGAACGTTTGACTAAATTTCTTTTGGATAGTGGTTTCCAAAGGGGAAAGGTAGACACCACACTTTTCATCAAGAGTAAAAACAATAACATCCTTTTGGTTCAGGTTTATGTAGACGACATTATATTCGGTGCTACTAACGAGTCTTTGTGCAAGGAATTCTCAACGCTAATGACTAGCGAATTTGAAATGTCAATGATGGGCGAGCTCACATTCTTTTTGGGACTCCAAGTTAAGCAAATGAAAGATGGCACGTTCATTTGCCAAACTAAATACTGCAAGGAGCTCCTAAAACGGTTTGAAATGGACAGCG